TAATAAATATTTTACTTCCCCAACATACTGTTGAAAGCACCTTGTCACTGGTACTCTCAAATGATTATTCAAAATGTCACAATGATGTTATTTACAAACCATAAAAAATACGTTACTCAGCTCCCAAGGTGTCCTTTTGTCCTAAGTGTGAGATTTTGTTTTCTCTAGCAATGGTCTCCAAACTTTATAGTCACACCAAAAACAATGGACTAATATGGTCATTATATACCATCCATAGATCAATCTCAAGCGTGAATTCATTTTAGCTTGTCTCATATTGTTATTCCTATACTGCTTCCACTATTCATGATTAAAAGAATATGACATTTATCCCAAAGATTTGAGCTTTGCTATTAAAAAATCTTAAGGGCAGGTCATGGTGGTATATGCCTATAATCCCAGTTATTTGAGAAGTATTGCAGGATGATTGTGGATCAAGTCAGCCTGATCACAAATTCAATACTCTATCTGAAGCACAAGTGATTGATGGCATGATTTAAGTTATAGAGCTCATGCCTGGCAAGTCCTAAGTTAAAAACTCCTCCATTAAATACACACACACACACACACACACACACACACACAGAAGAGACTTAAAAGAGGTCAACTCTCTCTCTTTATGGTCCAGATACTTGATTCTAAAGGTCCGCTAATTCTAAGGAGTGTGTGTGTGTGTGTGTGTGTGTGTGTGTGTGTGTGTGTGTGTGTGTGTGTGTGTGCATGTGCCAGTCCTGGGGCTTGAACTCAAGGCCTCAGTGCTATCCCTGAGCTGCTCTTGCTCAAGGTTAGAGCTCTATCACTGGAGCTCTACTCACAGCTTTTTGGAGATTAATTGGAGATAAGACTCCTACTGGCTTTCCTGCTTAGGCTGGCTTCAAACTTCAACCTTCAGATCTCAGCCTGCTAAGTAACTAGGATCACAGGCAAGAGCCACCCACATCTAGCTTGATTTTAAGTAATTTTAACCAACATCTCAAGGCATTCTATGACAATATAATTAATAATAATGGATATGGATCCATGTTTTTTATTTTTTTGTTTTTGCTTTTGTTTTTGTCAGTCATAGGGCTTGAACTCTGGGCCTGGGCATTGTCCCTGAGTACTTCAGCTCAAGGCAAGTGCTCTACCACTTGAACCACAGTACCACTTCTGGTTTTCTGAGTGGTTTACGGGAGATAAAGAGTCTCACAGACTTTTCAGTTCTGGCTGGCTTTGATCCTTGATCCTCAGATCTCAGCCTCCTGAGTAGTTAGTATTATAGGTGTGAGTCACTGGCACCCAGCAAATCTGTTTTTATTGATTATTTTTATTCTGGGGTGTGTGTGTGTGTGTGTGCGCGTGCATGTGTGTGTGTGTGTGTGTGTGTGTGTGTGTGTGTTGCTAAGAGTTGTAGGAATTGAACCTACAGCTTCAGCAAACACATGGAAACTTAGATGGAAACTCTGCCTCCGAATCTGTAATTTAAAATAGATTTAATGCGATTTTCAAATTTTTTATTGACTTGTCATCAGATCTGATTGCCATTGTTTTGATTGTATTAATGTGCTAGACAGCAAACAAGTATTTTTCAGAAGTGGGAAAAAGATGTCAGCGCTACCCTCTCTTTACTAATAAGAAAAAGCTCTGTCCTCAATTTGTGGTTATTTTGCTGCCATGGTTTTAATCAAGTTCAGCTAGAACTAGATAGTATCATACATAAACCCAGTTAAGTGGGAACATTGCAGACACCAGAGTTTGTTAAAGGGAACTATCTGCTGTCAGTTCCATGGTGTAGAAGGATACCCGCTCTCTCCTTATGGTGTTGGGCACGTAGTATTTAACTTCAGCCTATCTGACGTACCAACCAAATATGGGCAACAGAGTCAGTCTCCATGTTGGCAAAGATTATTTCTATTTTTAGAAACTAAATAAAAATAGAAATTCTAGTGTTCTTTCCCATGCCTTCTGAAGACTCCATAACCTTCTGTGAAGAGCACTGATTTCACACTGTAAACTGAGTCCCTACGGTTAGGGGACCTTGTTTGGCTACTCTGGACTTCTGCTCTCTGATCTTTTCCATAGTCCCAAGGGTGAGTCCATATTGACTCCACCAAGCCAATCCTTCCATCTTAGTGATTAGTTTGGAGATGTCAATAAACTCAATCCTGGCTGCAGAAAAGTACAGCTTAGGACTTTTGTAGCAGCTCCAGAGAAAGAATACCTCCCTCACCCACATGAGAACCACCCTCTTGTCAGCTCCACACTCTCAATAAATAGGCATACAAGCTCCTAGGAGCCATCCTGTAGAACCTAGGAATAGGAAGATATGCTAGACATAGAAGGGAAAAATGGCAAGAAACTGCCCTTTGGTTACCTTATTTGAACTTCCACATGAAGGCTTAACAACATCTAGTCTTATTACTGACTTCTCAGTTACACGGATCAAAAAATTCCATTCACTTACACAACCATGCATTTAACATGGCTGCTCTGTCACTTGAAACTAAAACATCCCTCACAGATACAGCTGTCCACTCCCCTCAGGTTGTACATACTTATTTTTGTTTATTTTGGATTTGTTTCCTTTCATTTGTTGAATCGAGATCAACTATGTGAACAATCACTAAATATATAAAAGTTTGTAATAAAATGTCAAATTATAAAGCTGTATAATAACCTTGAGAAAGTATCTGAATTTTTCTGATCTTCAGTGTTCTAATTTGCAAATGGAAGTAAAAAATATATTTCACATTCTGACAATTAAATAGATATGGCAAATAGTACTTACCAGCTGCAATTAGGACTTGAAGCCGATCGACGAAATAATAAAAGCTACCATTTATAGAGGCCGTGAATCTATCTGCCAGGACCTTCTTATAATGTATCTATTTAAATTTCACAACTCCCTGCAAAGGCATTATCCCTTCCCTTTGTCAGATGCAGGTTCCAAGACCTGAAATAACTTGAGGAAGGTTGGCAGCTAGTTAATAGCAGCAAGAAGATGGAAAATCAGATTGGTTTGTCCAAACCTTCTACTTTTTTTTTTTTTTTTTTGGTCAGTTGTGGGGCTTGAACTCTGGGCCTGGGCACTGTCCCTCAGCTCTTCAGCTCAAGGCAAGCACTCCACCACTTGAGCCACAGTGCCACTTCCGGTTTTCTGTTGGTTTATTGGAGATAAGAGTCTCACAAACTTTCCTTTCCTGGGCTGGCTTTGAACCATGATCCTCAGATCTCAGCCTCCTGAGTAGCTAGGATTACAGGCGTGAGCCACCAGCGCCTGGCCCTCAAACCTTCTACTTTTTACTATGCCAAGTCGTTGTCAAAAGTTACTATACATGCCATGACACTCATCTTCATTTCTGAAAACAAAACCTTCAATAACACAACCTTCAGTAATCAGACAAACAAAGCGAGGAAGGTCTGCTTTAGGGGAGAGGGGAAAGAGGGTGCAATGCCCTGCAAATGATACAAAGTGGTGTGCGGCATTAGAGATCAGAAGGAGGACTTTATATATCATGGCTCTCTCCTTCAATCCTGGCACAGTGCTTGGCACAAAGTAGTTAGGAAAGTGACCTCTAGTAGGGGGACATCTATTTCCTATCTGTCCTGTTATCACAACAGGACCACAGGACTGAGCTACCCTGACTGGCACCTGTAGTTCTCCTCCATTGAAGTTTAGGGAGCAGCCCTGTGCCCAAAGTATGTGTTTACACAAGAACTCTATATGGACTGAGCCATGTTCCATTCTGGGGTTCAGTACTACTAGGCCCATTGCCCCTGCAGGTCTAAAGCTGTAGCCATCATTCGTTTTCACCAGGAGTGAAGCTGATGTTTGTGACTCCTGAGGCCGTCCCAACCGATTCTGATTTTACTTGGGGGACTGTGTGTTATTTTGAAGCCCCCTAAAACCTTCACTGTGGGCACTCAATGAACCTTAGTAAAGGGTGACAATGGAGAGATTAGCCTGGACTGAGCAGGGGGAGTGTGATGAAGTAGATGAAGAGAGTGGACAGAAAGGCTGCCCTGGGTAAGGAAGGCAGGCATCTGGGAGTCAGGGGACAGAGTGTGGACAGTCTGACTTGGGAAAGTGCACATGTGAATGAGAGTGAAGAGGAGATCTCCAGAGCAAAACCTGGCTCTGGAAGGGAGATGGATTTTTCAGGCAACTACGGAAAGTGGTTGGACGCTCATCCCCCTAGAGCTGATGGAAAGTAGACAGCCTTGGGCATGTTAAATCCAAGATGTCAAGTAGATTCATTTTCCGTTTATCAACAACAAGGTAGGTGAGGCCATGACTTAAGGAGTCAGCGCTGTCCAAGAGGTGATATACCTTTGGCGAAGAAGTTGATGACGGAAGCAGGAAATCCACAAGTGAACCCCAAGTGCCCACGGGCTAGTCTCTGGTCCCAGCCCCCACTCCTCTGCGCCGGGGCTGCAGTGCCAACCTACCTGGTCCTGGGACTGGGGGCGGGGGAGGGGGGGGAACGCCACACCCAGGGCCCTCTGTCTTTCAGTGCTGGGGGCTGCTTAGGCTGTGGGCCATGGGGGGGGGGTACACCTAGTTTTCCAGGTTCCGATGCCAGATGCCAGCCTGGGCTGCGGCCCCCGCGGGACCGCCCACCTGGCCGCGGCCGCCGCAGTCCGGGCCCCAGCTGCCCGCAGGCCCGCAGCCCTTCCCGGGGGTGGGGTTTCCACGGTTTCTCGGGTTCCCCTTTGTTGCTGCGCCCCCAGGACGCCCCCCTCTAGCCTTCGCCTCTGCGTCCCGCAGGCACGAAAGGGGGTGTTTGTCCGGGGAAGGGGGCGTCGATCGGGAAGAGGGGACTTAGGCAGCTTCGGGGTGCACCGGGGCTCCCCAGAGCGAAGAACCGGGTGCGGGGTGGGGGGGCGAGGGAGGGAGGGAAGGGAGGGGAGCCCGGAGCCGCGGGGGCCGCTGCTGCAGAAGGGGGAGGAGAAGGGGGAGGAGCTGGGGGGCAGGCGGTCCGGGAAGGAGGGGTCTTAAGGGGCGGCGATCCCAGGTCGGATTTCCTCCGAGGCTGGCGATCGGCGGGGCTCCCACCTTCTCCTAGAGCTCTCGGCGCGGCCCCCCTCGTCCCGTGCGCCCTCCGGATTCCGGGACGCCACCATGGTGAGCGCGGGGCGCGCGGCGGGCGCGGGGGGCCCGGGGGCCCGGGGGCCTCCCCGCCCCAGGGCTCGGGGGTGTCTGGGCAGAGGGGAGCGAAGCTGGTGGGACCCGAAGAAGTTCTCCCCGGGCCGGTGCGGGGCCGGCCTTCAGTCTCGCTCCCTTCTCTTCCGCAGATGTGGAAACGCTGGCTGGCGCTCGCGCTGGTGGCGGTGGCCTGGGTGCAGGCGGAGGTAGGTGAAGGGCTGGGGAGGTCGGAGCGAGGGCCCGGGGTGGGGTGGGATGGGGGGTGCCGGAGGGTCTGGGTTGGGGGGAGAGCGGTGGGATCGGGGCCCCGCACACGGGGCTGCGGGGCGTGCGTCCTGGGGATGCGCTCTGGGGCGGGGCGGGAAGTCTGCACACTCGCCGTGAAGTGGGGCTTTGGGGGGCTCCCGGCAGGAAGGCTACTTTAGCAAAGTTAAGTCTCAAAACCTGGAGCGGTAGTTGAGTGGGGGGGGGGGAGGGAGGAAAGCCGCACCCGAGTTCAAAAAGGCGCCTTGATTTGTTCCCCTCACTTCCGAGGAAATCCAGTAGAGTCAGGGACTTTTCCTCTCCAAGTCTCTCCCGGGGAGGGGAGGAGCTGAGAAATTCTTTTGCAGCCAGATTAATTCTTGCTCTCTCTCACACACTATCTCTCCCCCTCCCCCCTCCCAGTTATGATTCCCTGAAGTTTATTTTCATCTTTATAACGTGCCCTAGGCTTTTCTGTTATTATCTGAGTCATATAATAGCCTGTTTCAAAAGTCTAATTTTTCTTTTAAATTTACATTGTGCAAAGCGTGACAAATCTGCAGCGCTGCCCTTTTGGAGGCTTCGTGATTACATTTAAAGCATTTCAGCCCTTTTTTTTCTCTTCTTTTTCGTTTGGTGTTTTCCTTTTTTTGGTAATGTTTTCTTTTCAACTCCAGTGACCTTCCTGAGACACTACAAACAAACCAACAAACCCATTGCTCACAAAGCCCCTCCATTAACTCAAAGGTTTATGGACAGAAAATAAACAATTCTAAATTCCCTGGGCTCTGCTCTCCAGAAAAGTGAGGTCAGAAACTAAACATTTGATAATTATGGCAGGAAATGTGGAAGGAATTAAAAAAGCATGAGGGAGAAGAAATGGAATGCACATTACAAAAGAAATAGCTCTCTGGCGGGTGGTTTATGGTCCCTTCCAGAGTTTTTCCTTACATTATAGTTCAGTCCCACCCGTAGCCTCCACAACTGAACTCTGCCCCAGAATTCATAAATGGTACCAAGTCTATATGATTTAGAAAAAAAGAAGACACACTGTTCTGAATTCCCTTCTTAACTCCCTGCATTGTTGGTTGAGTGAAATAAAAATATAGCTCATAATGATAGGATAATTCCTCTGGGTTAATAAAATTCCTTTCTTTGTATATGTGCCCATACTGGGGCTTGAACTGGGGGCCTCATGCTCATGCTTAGCTTTTTTGCTCCAGGTTGGTGGTGCTCTTCCACTTGAGCTACACCTCCATTTCTTAAACACCCTATTTTAATGATAGAGCAATTGAGTCAGAAAATTTACATAACTTATAAGATGCTTCAGCAGTTTATGATGGGGACAGGATTTGAACCCAAGTCTGATAGCTGACCCTAGGATTTTAATCACACTTCCACACAAACACCCAACCATGAAGGCTTCACATTTATTAGGTATTTTGTATTAACAGACATGGGCCTTGTGTATTACCTGCACCATTTCTTTAAAAGTTCCCCACTCTCATAAGGTCACTTTGGTTATTCCCATTTTAAAGATAAAGGGACAGACATAAGAAAACTATGTAACTTTGTCCAATGGCATACAGCTGATTAATTCTTCAGGAGAATATGAAACCATCAATCTGTATCTTTGGAGCCCACCTTAAACTCCAGCCTGCTTCTCATCTGTTTTATACATCAGAGTTGAAATTGGAGGACATAACCCTCTTCATGTCAGATGGAACCCTGGTTAAGGAGCCCTCCTCTATCCCCTGCTGTGGCCCTCAAAAACAGCTGCAGTTCAGTGATGGATGAGGTGAATCCCTGGTTAGTGTTATGGCATGCTTGAGAATTGCCAGCTAGTGTGTGAAATGACTCTCTGAACTGGAAGGAAATTTGAGGGGGAGGGGATGGGGCTGTTCACCACCAGGCTGTGTGGCCCAAAGCCTGGGATATATTCTAGGCAAGCTGCATCACATACTTGCCTTCCATTGCCCCACCCTGCAGGGTAAAGCTTAGCCCAGGTAAGAAGTTCTTCCTGCAGCAATTTGCTGCTAGAGGTGGAAGAGCATCCAGCACTTTCACCATTCCTAAGCAGAATCCACAGGGAAAGGGGCAAAGTGGAGAAGTGCTGAGACATGAAAACCAAGAAAGCTGCTGCAGAAAAAAAAAGCTGTGGAATCAGGGCATGCGTACACTCTGTGTGTGTGTGTGTGTGTGTGTGTGTGTGTGTGTATTTAAATTAATCCAGCCTTTGTTGCCTGGCCCTGTGGGTAACATTTGGCAACTTCTTAATGCAGGTGTTAATGACACACCTTTCATTATAAATGAAAAGGTAAATTAACTGGCTTTGTAGGAGACTTGAGATTTGGATATATTTAATGATGGTGGCAGTAGAATTGTTTTTCTTGTTAACTGTAAAGACATTCAACAAACACTCAGATATGGTATTTAGAGTCGATTAGTATGCATAGTGCTAAAATTAGTGTAAATATTGTTGAGCTTTTAAACAATGAAATTTAGATGATTTTATTTTATTTTTTTAATTTATTTTTGGGTCCGGTCGTAGTGCCTGAACTCTTGGCCTGGGCGCTGTCCCTCAGTTCTTCAGCTCAAGGCTAGTGCTCTACCACTTGAGCC